TTGAATTTTATAGCTTCAAGATTATTATTGCTGTAATCCAAAATTGACAAATATATAGGCAAAATTTATGTTTTCCGAGATAAACACTAAACTTTAAACTAATCTCTCGACTGAACCAGACCCATGTGGCTGTAATAATTTATTCAAAGTTAAGAATAATCTCTGACCCACGTTTTATAACGAATTCAGATGTTAGGTAACCGATAGCGTTGTAAAGAATAAGAATGATTTATTATATTCGAAGCATATGTGTGTGTAGTGAAACAATAATTACATGAGCTAGATTTTTAAGATGCAATAACCAATTGTATAATAATAATATAATTATCAAGGGTTATTACTATAGTCAAATGCATAGTTATAATTAAGATAGGTAGATTGAGATAGGAGTAATTAATCAATTATATTATTATTATATTAGTAGAGATTTTAGTTCATTAGAGAGTTTAGATCATTTCACATCCTTGATAATTAGGTTAGAATTAACGGAACCTTTATTTTATACATTTAATTAGGTAATTAGAAAAGGGAAAGATTTTCAATTAAAAGTAAATGTTCAATTAATAATAACTTACAACATGTAAGTAGCGAACTCTGTTGGAGAGCCATCAAACTGGATCACAGGGTTGAGCATTTTGGATGGGTAAGGTTGGATAAACTTGAGAACCAATGGAAACACAGCAAGAAACCAAAGGGTACTCTCAGCGAATCGCTGAAAGCTAAGAGGGTGGAGACCCTCGAATCTCGCCACCGGAAAATTAAGTCGTAAAGTCTCAACCGAATTCTTGATCCATTCCTTATCCGCTAGTTCATCTGCCGCCCGCGGTGTTTTAGTGAAAGCTCTCCAAAGAGGTGATTTTTTTTTAAATTTCAATTTCCAATAAAGTCTCAGATTTTGAACTAAATCTTTTAATTGGGAAATTATTCTCTTTTCTTTCAATTGTCTTAATTTTTCTTCAGTTAAAAATTGTTGATGTTCTATTAATTATATAAGGTATTTTAGTTTTTTTTTTTTTATATTTTACCTTACCTTTTTTTTATCTTTAAATAATTAACTTTATTTGTCAGTCTTGAATAAATTAATTTTAATCTTTCGAAATTAGTCTTTTCTTTTCTGGTTTTAAAATTCCTATTAAAACACTGATGGTGGTGTAAGAAGATCTTACGTACCGGTTTGTGCGATTAGAGAAGGTGTTTCCAGCTTCAGCAGTGGTAAGTGGTACTAATTTTGAATTTCTATTAACACCTTTCAATAACCACTCCAAAAAGAGAAGAAAGAAGACTTCGTTCAGATTGCCTCCGATTCAGAAAACTGTTATTCACTGTTTCAGTTCAAATTTTCTTTCCAGCAAATTTACCATGAACATAGCAATGGCGCACGACGTTGAATGAATTATATAAATATTTTCAAATAACGCGTGTCTATTCATTTCATTATTTTTAGCTGTTAGTGATCTTGATAGTTTATAGTTAACTATTTTGTATAATCCTAATTAAATGCCAAAAATACGTTAGGTAGGTACAGTTGAAAAAAAGTTCTTCTAAGAACTTGCTAAGTACTAAACTATTACTAAGTAGTAGGTACTAATGCCCGCATGCGCCGTTTTATCGTTAGGAAAGGCTCAGCAAAGTTATTCTTAAAGTTAAAATATCATACCTAATCTGACGAACTGTATCTTATTTTTTTCAAAATTTGAAATAAGGTGTCTGGAATTTTATTTTTCAATGTACTTTAATCCCATGACGAAGGGCATTACGCATTCTGCACCATAAAAAATCGTAAAAACTTAATAATGGTTACAGTTCGGGTTAAAGGTAGATAGAAGCATTGTATAGTTTAGTTAATAAGGTAATGGTAATTATATACAGGGTGGGCACGAAAAACTTCCCACCAAGTGATTAATCAAAAATCGCTCGGACACTTTAATTTTTGTTTTTTTGGGGACACATTTTTTTGGTATTTTTGCCCAATACCTGTCAACCTCTAAGCGGGGGTAACAGATAATCCCAACATTTTAATAGGAAGGGGGGTCGAGTGATACGTCATTTGGTAGATATTTTTATTAAGAATATATCCCCCAAGTTTTAAATTGATACCATTTACCTTGCCGAAATGGTGGCTTGTCAAAGTTAGGAAAAATGCTTCTTTCCGAGTATCTGAACTGCTCACATAATAACAAAACAACAGATTTTTTAAGGGTATATCTATCTAGAGTAATGAAATACCATTGGTATTTAATTAGAGTATTGTCATTCAACAGTTCAGCTTAAAACGGTGTTTTTTCACTTGAAAAATCTGTTGTTTCGTTATTATGATGTAAAAAACACACAACTTTGATGAGCTGTCATGCCGACAGGGTTAATAGTAGCAACTTGAAGCTTTGGGTATATAATCTTAATAAAAATAGCTATCAAATGGCGTATCATTCGACCCCCCTTTCCTATTGAAATTTTGGGGGTACCTGGTACCTGTCACCCCCGCTTAGGGGTTGACAAATAGGGACTGAAAATACCAATAAAAGATGTCCCACAAAAAATGACGTATCTGAGCGATTTTCTATTGATCACCTGAGAAAATCTGGGTAGTAAGTTTTTCGTGCCTTACCCTGTATAGCGACTATGTTACGTTTAAGGTCCCGCCTCGCAGACTACTGAACTCAGCGCACGTGATTTTTGAGCACGTTTGTTACGCCCCAGCAATATCTGTATGACTGGGCTGCTTGTATAGTGTAATGGTACCTAACACTTGGGCGTAATGAACAAGTTACGTGCACATAAACACTAGTTGTCCACCCCGTTGGACGTGGTTACGCACACCACCACGCAATGGGGGTGCTACCTTAAAACACAACTTGTCTTGCGTGACGTTATAAACACACGCAAAAGTTACAAAACCTACTTAAACTGACGCAGTGATAGGGGTGAGAACGCAAAAACAATACGCTTATGTCGATAATATACGACAATCATGAGCCATCACCGGCCAGCGGACTCAGTTTGTGCATATGACGTCACAGTGCTGTGAGTGAGAACTTCATACTACTGTAATGACCCGGAAAATAGACCCGTAAATTACAATGTCTTTACTGTGAAAATTAAATATAATCAAATAATCAAAAACTGAATTTCCGGCATTTCAAATCAGTATCGATAAATTGAAAATGGAACAAATTAACGTGACCCCAAATACATTCGAAATTATATTATTTCGTCCAGCGTGATGTCATCTCCTAAATCATATATCAATGAACTTTTTAAGCGAGGCCATAGTAATTAAATCGATGATTCATGGACCGCACGTGTTTTATCGGCTTTCTTTGTGTTGCCTTCACATTCTTAAACTAAATATCCCTGACCCCGATAAATCAGGATATTGCGACATAATTATTCAACAAAGAAATTTTTGGGGGATCGAATAATATAAATACAGCGGTTTCAGTTGAGATCATCAGTTGTCAGATCAGTTCGCAGTCCAGTCCAGTTTGAGTTAAAGTCTATAGTACTTAATGAGTCTGTCCGGTTAAAATTCGCGAAAAGTTCTTTTAAGGCCTCGGGGAAAACGCGTTCGATTTACCTTAGAAAAAGTACGGAAGATTGTGATAGAAATAACATTTGAAATTCGTTCAACAATTATGTGCGGCTCTAGCTAGAGATTTTTGAAGTAAATTAAATTAAGTAATTTTACGTGTGAAAAGTTAAATGTGAGTACTTTTGTGACTAGTAAAACTTTTTGACTTTATAAATGATGAATGGCTATGAAGTGAATTAACTACTAGGGAATACTCGAGTGTTTTGATTATGGAACAATATTGCATAACTTTAATTGCCTTCAGATATAATGACATTTTAATTTAATTTTGCAATGAAAATATGAAGGGAAATTTATAATGCATTTAACAAATCGATTTTGAGTAGGAATTATTGAAGAATTTTGAATTGGATTGTCCAATTTAAGTTTAAGGGCTATAGTAGCGAACTAATAAGAATTTAAATAATTTTGTATGTTGGCTAGGAATCCGGAAAATAGTAATTGTTCTAATTAAATAAACCAATAAATAAAATGGGAATTTGTGAAAAGAAACTTATTGTTCATGAAATGAATTTTGAATTAGGGTTTTTATTTTTCAAGGAGAAATTATTGTAAGGTTTTTATAAGAATAATTTAATAAAATAAAATTTTGATTTTTCATGAGCAGTCAGTAAAGGACTTAGGAAGTTTTAAGAATTTATTGAAATAGGTGAAGGGTAGTTTAATAGGAATGAATCGGAAGTTTTGCAATGAATAATCTTATAAGTTATTAGGAATAGTAGGAATAGGGCGTTTCTTTATTTGTATAGGAATATTTCAGTGGTCCGTAATAATGACATTTGAACGGATGTGAAGTAATTGAATTTAGAAAAATAGATGAGGCTGTCAAAATTGGAAGATATTTTGATGATTTAAAATTTTGGTTTTATGTATAATAAAATATAATTTAGTAAACCTCAATAGTTTGTTTCTCTCTTTTGCGAATAGACCCTTCCACAACTTTAATTCTAATAATACATTTCCTTTTCAATAAATCCCATTTCGTCCCTCCGTTCAAATAGGTACTTTCTATCTTATTGCTTCTTTAGATTTAAAAGCCACGTCGGCTGGAATTATTATACAACCAAGGTCCTGCTCACAACTCACATCAATTTCCCAGAAATGTGTTTTTGTCGGTACTTCAATTGCAGGAACCCCAATTATTGTAGATATAAATAAATATAACCCATACCTTATTTTATTATCCAGATGGTGTAATTCTTACCATTCCCACCCTGGTTGCTTTTAGTTTTTAGAATTAAAGTTAAGGTAGTAGTTGTAATATCGATAGTGAGCAGTCGGTTTTCAACTTCGAAAGCATTCAGTCGAGTTCTAATAAATTAAACAAAAGTTTCAAATAATCTCTAGTTTTATTTTCTACTTTATTAAAATAAAGGAAAATAGGTATAATTTCAATAAAACGCATACATTTTTCCTATAATAATTTTATTAACAGAAATCAATTTATTGATGGTAAATTGTCCCGTTGCAAAACCAAACTTTTGAGCAGCGAAACCGCCAAAAGTCTTATGGGAGGTAGAGTTTCAATCGGAGCTTCCAAATACTGAAAAATATAAACAAACTTTATTCACATTGACGTTCATGATATTATGATGAGAGTCACAATATTTAAAAATATGTTAAAGAAAATACTTATTTATTGATTGCATTTTCACCATATTTTTAATAATTATGGATAAAAACATTCAAGTTGTATCATAATTTTTTTAAAATTAGTTTTCTGTACCTTTCTATAACTCCTATATCCCATATCTTTAGCAAACAGATGATGTTTAATGGCACGAGTGACTTCACTTATTTGCACTTGAGGCTTCATTTTACTGAAAACTGATATTTGGTCTGATAGGTCTTCATTTTGATAGTCGTAATTGTACGGCTCTTCGCTTTTACTTATACAGTATAATTCCTGAAAATTGAGAGCATAATATCAATATTTTAATATTATGTCTTATTAGTTATTATTATTATTATCAAAATTCAATCTTGTTACTTACACTATTAGCTGTCATAAAATACAAATTAGCTCGTTCATACCATTTCAATCTAGTATCGTTACTATACATACTAGGCACAAATGTTGCTGTCACGATTTTCTCGTTTATTTGTATCAAATCCCGACTAGAATATATTACATTAGGAGATACAGGCTCAAAAACATAAACCTTATGAGTCACAGTTTTTTTCTTCTTGGTACCGCACATCACCAACATGTGACTAGACAAAGGATCCGAAACCAGTAGATTAATATTCTTCAAAGTCACCGCCCAAGTCATCGTAAGGGTGAGTATGTTCCAAACGCACAATTGGCTGCTGCTCGCAGTAGTAACTAAATGGCACTGATTACCCTGGCCGAATTGGATAAATTTTATTTTTTCTTTAAAGTTTGAATGGATGAGGGAACATTTGAGTTCGCAGGTTTCCGTGGCCCATATCGTTAGGATTGAATCGAACGCTGTGGCGAATAAGGAACCGTCTATTGAGAATGTGAGGCCTTGGCATGGCAGGTCTCTGAATTTGCCAATGTTGATGCATTTCCAAATAGGGCCGGATCCTGAAACAAAAATCAAGCTTATCAATGTTTGTCGCGCCTCAAAGTCATGCATTCATAAGCATACTAATGATTTTTTCATTGAATAAGTCTGTGCTGCTCCAATTTAGGCTGTTGACAAAACTATGAGGTTGCAAACTTTTCTAGATGTTCAGTAATGGTAGCGTATCACCAGTTAGTTTTATCAGTGTTAGTGTTTGTTGCGGAAATAACCCACAACAAGTTTAAAATGTTATTATTTGTAGTTTATCAATATAATCTCAATTTCTATTATTTATCATAAAAATAATATTCTAAAAAAAGATTCCTGTAAAACTGGCAACAGCAGCCCTTTTGAATCGGTAAAATTACAGATTTCTTCATTACCCTATGAGCAATGGATCTATTTTGTTGTTGTGATTGGTCAGTTGCCACCCAACATCCCTGATTTATGCGACCTGCTCCGAAAAAGGCAGTCGACTCGACGCACGGCACGGTACACAACAGTAGTAATCAAGAAGCAGAAGAGTAAGCAAAGACTCTGCACCCTCTCGCCTCTGAACGCTCTACAGAGGAAAAAAACCCCCAGAAAACCCCCGTTAGTACGCGAATTATAGTAAAATACTACTCCCAGTGTCTCAAGGCCTGACATGGCCTATATTATCAACGATATTATTGATTACAATTCATGTAATTAACCCCTAAATTGTTGCAAGTCATCTCGGACCTAGCAAAATTCTCTACTACGCCTGTTTAAGGTTATTCCTGTCTCACTCTCGACGGGCTTCAACTCTGTATATCATTGTGTTCTCTCTCTTAGTGGAAAATCCCTTAGCTGACAGTGCAAATTACTACGAATAGTGATAAATGGATAAATAATCACTATATGGATTTACCGGTATGAACTGGATTAAGCAAGTAAGACCGTTTCAATTTCTCAAAACAGTCGAACAATAAATTAATAAATACTGAATACTGATTCGGTTGAAATGCACTATAAATTGAAGTGTTTGTTCTAACCTTTAATACAGAAATTTGGTTTTCACACTCGTGAAATGAACATTAATTTGTAAATTTGTATATAGAAACTGAGCATATATATATAGACTTTTCTTGCACTTATTGTTTACACACTTCAGCAGAAAAGTGCTCAAATTATTAACTCTCAATAAACAAAAGAACTTTCAAGGATTATAAACATTTTGTGAATACAGTGAGCTGATTGAAGTTCACGAATTATTTGTGTTGTGCTCTCGTAAATCTAATTAGTTAATTTGTGTTCTCGTTCATCGAACATTTAACCATAATTGATATTATTATTATGAAATTTCACTATTTTTTATAAATCAAGATACTTATTTACTCGCTTATTTACTTTAGATTAGTATAAAATTTGTAGTTCGACTGGACGTCCAAATAGGAATTATTAGATAGGATTTGATTGCTGATTAAACCGAATTAACTTCATTTATTAATTAAATTGATAACTATTCTATTTCAGCGTTTTATTTGTATAAATGAGAATCAAGGCACCCCTAGTTCAATACAAGGCTTAAATGATCCAACACCTAATGGTTAATTTTTACAGTCAGTCAAAGTAAAAACTTTTGACATCCCTGGTGCGGTAATGACTAGAGTCCACAAAAGGGTAATAGCTAGTTCCGTCACACGGTTTTACCAGTGTGTGCCCGATATTTCCGCCGTTAGCCCGGTTCAAGGTCATAGAAAAGCAAATTTTCTCTTTTTGTATTCCTTCTGATTGTTTGTTATTCTGTGGTGGTAACTTAAGTAGGTCAGTTTTAATTCGATATTTGTCGTGTATGTTTCGATAAGTGATAAATGAATTTTGTATAAAGTCATAAAGTTGTGACTGTTTGTAAAATGAGTTTTAGTGAACCCGGAATCCGTGACATTATTATTAATATGTTGACAATAGCAGGCGGTACAAACGATGAAGTTATCGTTTCTCCTTCAGGTTTTCAGGTTTAAGTGAATTTGTTTACACGCCGTAGTGGATCATTCTGTCTGAATTCTGTTTTAGCTCTATATCAATAGAAATTCTTTCCTTCAAATTTATGTATTTGTTTGGGTAGAAATTTTAGGTGTGTTTTTGCCTATTACATGGTCACTGCGGCCAATGGGCGGTTCTGAGCAAATATCGAAAATGCTTTTAGGATCATTGGTCTATAATAAAAGAACTTTGGTCGTTTCTGTATCTTGTTGGGCAGGGACGTACCGAGGAGATATTTTTTTTTGGGGCGGGAGATAGCAACTTTACCAACTTTAAAAAATATTTTTACGAACTTTCAAAGTGTTAGAAATTTTAATGCCAAAACGTAATAGGTAAATAAATTCTATATACAGGGTGTTCCTAAATATCATGTACAAACTGAAGGGGGTGATTCTTTGGTTTATTTTATTACTAAAATTTCTAATAAACATAGGTATAGTGCGCCGCTGATAGATTCTAAAAAACAAAATATTTTTTTTACCTTATTTAGAAACTTTATGTTTTCTGGTAGTTTTTTCGAATCACCGATCCTTATCAAAAAAAAATAAAAAACAAATCTCTGTAATAAGCTTGATGAAAGTACAGTGACAGATCATCTACATACAGATGCGAAAGAGCCATGCATTCGTGGTTGAAGGTTAATTTGGCGGACATACGTTGACCGAACCAATGCCGTAACATTGAGTGCGGAAAAGCACTAGTGCGGAAAAGTGGTACTTTCATGACCTAAAATGCGTGCGGAAAAGTACACTTTTCCGCACGCTCGTAGAAAAAACCTTTTATACATATAGTGCAGGTGATAATAGAGGTCTCGCCGCCATATTCTTTCTGATTTTCAATAGGAATCTAGAAGTAAGACACGCCCTCACCGCCATATTCTGCTCATTTTCAATATGAATACATTAAAATTTCAACACCCTGTAGATCGGCAACGAAGAGTTCGCGAACCTATATATATTAGAAATATTGTTCATAAAATAAACCAAAGCATCACCCTCTTCCGTTTGTACATGATATTTAGAAGCACCCGGTATATTTATTAACCATCACTGTTTTTAAAAGCTTATAGAAATCACCAAAAAACCTTTATTTTCTAGAACTAAGAATGAATAAGGGGATTCCCCATTTCGCAATAGGTCGCGTTGCCATGCCAGGCGCTGCAGTGTGATCGTCCGATCTCGCGGGATATTAGAGACCTTCTGTTAACTTGTTACTCAAATTTCACAAAATGGAGTTTGAAATAAATGTTTGTTTCCAAAATATAAAATGTATCTGTTGGAGACAAATGGCGAATTCGGCTCGTGGCCGATATGATTGGACATATCACCATATGTCCATACTAGACATGCCAGTTGTTGAAATTTGGGATCTGACCTTCTTAAATTAGCCATGTCGCGAAGTGCGCTATTTTCTAAGACGCCGTTACCGATTGATTCACAAATAAACAACAAACAACCGACAACCTGGTACGTCTATCCCGGCCTTAAGACTATAGTGGTCTTCTGTCAAAAGCCCCAATTGTTTATTATGCAAATTTTTTTGAAAACTGCCGTTAGGGGAATTTGTGGCCGGCTCCTATAGGTCAAAATCCTGTTCTATTCAATCCAAGTTGAAAGGAGCAGGATTATGATCTAAGCCAAGATGCCTTCGGCACCTGAGAAGAACGTCCAAAACATTCTCCATTACTCTCCATAATACCTTGATGTGTTGTAAAATTGTCGGTAATTTTTGTACCGAACTTTCGGGAATGTTTGAGAATTTATGAGAACTTTGGAGAATGTTGCGAAAGCATTCGGATTTTTAATGTAGGGCTTGTAAAAATATCTGTTAATAATAAGTTTCTTTTTGCTGATGATGCCTTATTCTATTTTTCCACAAAAGATCTGAGCCAACTTGAAACATCACTTGATCAAATATTGGATGATGTGTATCAGTGGTGCAGTGTTAATGATTTGAAGGTCAATATTTCTAAAACAAAGTATATAATTATTGCAAGGGAATCTATTTACAAACAGCTGTTGGCTATGGACTTTAAATAGACTAAAAAATAGTACATTAAAATACAAGTCGCCCTTTAGAAAACTCGCCTCCGGCTCGTTTCCTAATATAGGGCTCGTGCGATAAAATGTCTTATGAAACGAATATTTTATTCTATTTTTTCTATTTTGGTATTGTTTAATTTAAAAAAAAAACTTTTCTTGGAAATTTTATGCTCATATTTCCTGATTTCATATGTTTAGGTTGGTAACACTACATGCCAAATATAGATATCTTCTATTATTTTTTATCGTGAATGACAGTTCGATGGCCATCAATCAGCCAGTGTAACCAACCTCCGATAAGTAAAAAAGGAGTGTCACAAAGAGCTTCTTTTCGAAACTACTTTTAGTGTCGAAAAGACTTCGATATGACACCAAAATAGAAAAACTATATTTAATGTATTAATACTTCCACATTTACATTATTTTTCTAGTACTTTATTTCTCTTTAAACAAAATGAACTCTCTAGGTTGCAGAAATTGCAAAACAGAAGTCTGAGGGTGATACTCAAAAAACCAAGGTTAACACCAATAAAGGATATGTTGAAAGAACTTCAATGGCTGCCAGTGTGGGAGCTTCTCCTGTTTAACACACTAATATTCATTCATGAAAATAAAAAATGGTCAAGCTCCGCAATATTTCTTAAGCAAAATTACATAGGTCGCAAAACTCATTATATTTTAAGAGCTTAAGCTCAATTTATAGACTCACCGTCAAGATTCCGTTTACGTTTGCGTAGTCGTCGAGTACGTCGAGCCAACTGAATGTTAGACATCCCATAAAATCATTTACACTTGCCGTCGGCCTCACAGTTCGCCGTCAGTATAAGAGACTACGGTACCCAGCGAGGCCGACGCAAAGGCAGACGAAAACTGAATCTCGACGGCAAATTTATAAATTGAGCTATGTAGGTATAATGATCTGCCAATTAAGGTTAGGTCCATAAAAACAGTGAATTCTTTTAAAAAAGATT